AGATGCCATGCAGCCATGCAACATGCTAGAGCTAAAGGCAACCTAATTAGGATTGAGAACACTCTTTGTATTGACATGATGATAGAACACATTTATTACACACATTTATTTGTCAATTAGAACCATTTTATTAATATTTTATCATCTCAAAGTGTACACATTGTATTAGAATTGGAAAATTGGCTACATGTCTAGGTTTTGTGCACTAGGGATATTTTGGTCCAAAAATGAACTTTTGAGAAAATGTGCAAGAAAAATTGAAAAAGTGAATTTTATGTCTAGAAGATGAGTGGGTAAATTAAATTTTTGAAATTCATTTTAGTTTGAGAGTAATTAAATAAAAAGTCAACACTTTCTTAAATATTCTAGTTTAACCTAGTTTTCGATTTGCCTTTGTGTGAAATTTTTTATATGATTTTGTGTAGCCTAAAACTTGGTTATTTTAATAAATTATCCCTTCTAATTATAAATTTAATTCTGAATTTTAATTATATTTTATTATGTCACATGTTATTTAATTGAATTATGTGATTTTTGTAACATAGGTGACATGTAACTTGTGCATTAATTTGGCAAATAAAGTTAAAACTCCATGGGGTCAAATCTGATGCATTAGGGACGTTTTTCTTCTTAGTTGGGCGGTCTAGATCAACTTAAAATATGGATGATGTATGGGATTAATTGGATACACATTGGAATCATCTACAAGCCAATAGGAGGATGCCACTTTGCAATTATGACAAGGCCCCAAAATTCCTGTTTATTTTATTTTCTTTTATTTTAATTAGGAGTTAGCTGAAGGGAACCTATTTGCACATCCATTCACTCATTTTTTTCAGATCTAACACCACAATCCACTCATCCCTTCCATTCTCTGTCTATAATTCATAGCGTTCTTCATTTTCTCCACATTCTCACTACTTTCTTCATTTTTCCAGCACTCATACCTCCACTTCTAGCTACCAAAATTCCACAAAACATACACCATTCTTCATATATCTCCTTGCTCATCCCATGCTTTCCATTTTCACAAGAATCTAAGCTCAATTTCTTCATCCAAACTTCTATAGATTTTGGCCAAGGGGTGCTTCTCATAGAGTTCTTGAAGATAAAGATGGTTGGCTAAGTTTTTTGGTGGATTCCTAGAGAGATGATGATGGAGGATGAATCTAGAGCTTCACTTAGCTAAGTTTTTTTTTCTCTTTTTATTAGATGATTAGATATCTTAGTCTAGAGTTTAGTCATCTTGGCTTATAAATTATAATTTGAATTGATTTCAGTGTAAACAGATTGTGTTGATTAATTTCTTCCTTTTACTATCTTGGTTATTTTGGCCACCTTATGTTTAACACATAGTCTTGTGTTTTTCATTTAGTGAATTACATATGTTGGCATTGCATGATCTTGTGATGTTAATACTTGTGTTGTTAAGTAGTTTGACATAATCTTGTGGTTGCTCACTTTATTGCTTTGGCCATGGCATTTAAGATGAGAATTTGAGTGATTCACTTGGCTAATTTTTGTACCAATTGGTTAATTGAACTAAGGACTTTAATCTAAGACTTACGGAAATTGGCTCATTAGGTTAATTGGCTTAGGATGGTCTTCTTAGGTCAAGACAGCATTGGTTAAGAGGAAAGAAAAGCTTAATTTAGCCTAATCAGATGAAAATAATGATTCTAAAATCAACTAATCTCTAGGGTTCCACATTCTTAAAAAAGGAAGTCCACACCATTCACCTTAGCTAGCATTTTTAATTACTTATTAATTAGGTAATTAGGTAGTTAATTACGTAATCGAACATCCAAAACATATGAAAACCGTTTTGGAGGTTGAGTTGGGTTGGGTCGTTTCGAAACGGAGGGCAGATTGGGAACCAGATCAGATTTTCAAGAACCAGGCTGTTAAAAAAACCTTTTTTATTTTTTATTGATTTTTTTAAGAAATGATTGATTTTTTTTAATCATTTAATGTTAAGTTATATTATGTGGTTTATTAAGTCATGATAAACTTAAAATATTTGATTTTTTTAAGTTGAGTAGAAATTTCATATTTATTTCTTGTATTTAGATTATTATATACATATATAATTTTTTAATTTAATTATTATGTCATCAGTTTGACCATTGGTCCAATTCAATTAAACTATGCGAACCGTGAACCGTTGACCTTTCCAATTCAATATTCGATCTGATTTTGAAAACATTACTTTCAAGAGTTTTAGCAATAAATTCATTAAAATATTTAGTAGGGAGACCATTGAAGGAGACCTAACGCGAATAGTTTGGCAACTTGCGGTCATACAAAACTAGATTCAAAGTCCATGGTTTAGTCACTATAAGAGCATTTTCAATTGACCATAGGCTACTACTAGACACAAAGAGCTTGACTTCTTCATTTGAGAAGTGAATATGGAAGAAATTTTTGCCAAACTCCACCACTTTAAAACATACTTCAAGCAACCAAACTCTCCTTGAGTAAGAGGAAAGCCGTTTTTCTTGACAAACTTTGGAGTCCAAGATAACAAGGGCACAACCTTCCCAATATTGTTGATTAGACTAAAACATGGCAGCTTGGAGATCAATGATAGCATGGAAAGGGCCAATGATGTGTCCATGAGTAGAGATTAGATGAAACAAGGCAGATGAAAGGAGCAAAACCACAATGATAGCCGGAAGGACAAAAGCAAGGAAAAACCTAGAAGAAAAGAAGGCGAGACCGGAATGAATAATGAAAGAGAAGGAGTAGGAATGCTAGTTTACAGTAGGAAAAGAAGCAGAAAATGAAGCACCGATAGATATTGGAATAAGGATTGTAATCATGAGGTGTAGCTCAATCTAAGCACATATCAATTCCCAAGCTCCACAAAGAGATGAATATAACATATCTTAAGTTGGAGGAGAAGGATTACCAATAAGATGATGGAAAAACAATTATGCAAATACTTTTGCGTGGTGAGGGCAGTGGCATTAAATGTAGGAAGTGATGAAGAAAGTGGATGGAGGTGGAGAGGGTGAGGAACGGTCAGACACAAAAACAAAAGGCAAACAAAGAGCCAAGGGCACTGAGAACAGAAGTCCGGGAAGGAAATGGGCTAGATGAAAGTGGGCCTAAAAGCCTAAAGGCTATTCTCTCTCAATTCTAAGGAGAAGCCATAATGTTAAAAAAAAAATTGTTTTGTGCCATTAGCATTGCTTTTAAGATGGTTATGCAAGGAGTGTATATATATATATATATATATAAAAGAATGGTTATTATGCATGAGCATCGGGAATATCCATTCAACTTTGATAAGTGAATGGATTATTAATTATAATTATTATTAAGAAAAATTAATCTTTTAATCCTTCAACTTTTAACTCACTTGTAACTCAGTTCCTCAATTATAATTCGCTGTGACTCAGTCTCTCAACTATAACTCACTATGACTCAGTCCTTCAACTTTTGATTCACCTATAACTCGATCCTTTTTTTAATTTTTTTTAAATTTCTTATCAAATAAGAGGGATAAAAAAATGCTCATATATCATTTTAAAATACTCTCCTATTATTCATTGATGTGAGATATAAGTTAATATAAAAAAATTAATAAAAGTTAAGGGATTAATTTGTAAGTGATTTAAAAGTTGAGGGATTGAGTTATAGGCAAGTCATAGTTGAGGTATTGAGTCACAGCGAGTTATAGTTGAGGGACTGAGTTATAAGTGAATTAAAAGTTGAAGGATTAAAAGATTAATTTTTCCTTATCATCATCATCATCATCATCATCATCATCATCATCATCATCATCATCATCATCATCATCATATTATTTTATGAAGTAAGAGAATGGATCATTGTCCAACGAGAATTAGGTTGGACGAATAAAATTTACAAATTTTTATGGGCCAAATTAATTTTTTCATGAGTTAACATGTTCTAATTCTAATTCTAATTATAAATGTAAATATATGGAGAATGACATTGAGTCCATTGTAAGGGAACCATTAACATTTTGGCCTCTTCAACTACCGATGACAATTAATAACAAAATGTTAACAAGGGCAAAATATTAAAATATAACTTGTAACACCCCTTCGCTTTTATTAGCGACCAACGTATTACTAACAGCATGTTCAATTTTTCTCCAAAAGTTTATTTGACTTTCCTTGGGAATGGATTTTTGTGTCCAAAAAATTGTTGTTTCTTCTTTTTTTTTTTGAGCAAAAAAAAAATTGTTGCTTCTTATAAAGGAATTTTTAGACAACGCTGAGGAAAACCAAACATGTGGTCTTTTTCAAGAGTGATTGTATTTCAGCCAATGTAATAATTATTGCATTTTGATTGGAAAAACGATAAATAAATCCTTTCAAAATGGATGAAGAACAAAATAGTACCATAAAATGAGATAATTCTATTAAAGTTTCTAGAGATTTAACTATCATAATTTTTTTTATAAAATTACATTTCTAACTCTACCAAATAATAGAAAGTGTGGCTGTTAAAGCCTATTAAAGCCTACATTAAAATTATTAACAATGAATGTAAAATTGTTAATATAAGAAGTGTAGTTTTGTTTTGTTTAATAAATACAAGAAGAAGAAGTGTAGTCATTATTGCATGACTAAACTAAATTTATGATCAATTGTATCATTAATATCTAAATGGAAGCTGTTGATATAAAAAATGCAAATAATACATACACTTATTATATTAACAATTTTACTCTCATTATAAAAATAACAACTCTATTTTTTATTTTTTATTTTTTATCCTAGGGTCATAATCATGTCATAATATCATCAAAAATTTTTATGTATTAACTCTTGGGCACTTCAAAATAATTACTTCATTTCATGATTGTTATTTATGATTTACATGTTTTATTAGATTTATTTGTCATTGTCACCGTTCTTTTCCTTTGGCATATTTTGACGCGGGACCGTGCGAGCTATAAAATATTATAATCTAGCTTGGTGGAAGTCTTCACTGGACTTCGGGGGCTAGATGACCAATTGCGAGTCATTGGGTCTTGTTTCGCGTTGAAGCACGCCCATGGAGAGTCCTGGGACAGATTACCTACCGATGGCCCACTATGTAAAGCAAATAAAAAACTTCACAAACTTAGATGACATCAACCTTCCACTCTCTTCTCCTCTATTGACATTTTGCCCCGTATCCATCCAATTACTCGGTTGCGACTCGGAATCGCTGTGATGGAATCATCTAGAGAGTAATCGAACTCCTTTTATCTAGTATGGGAAGCACTGAAGTGATTGAAGGAGAGCGCGTGGAGGATGTTGGATTGGAAGAGACTGTATATGTTGCAGTGGGGAAGAACATAGAGAAGAGCCAACAGCTTCTGCACTGGGCATTGGATAATTGTGCCAAAAAGAAGATATGCGTGCTTCATGTTCATCGGCCTGAGCGTATATATTCTTTGAGTGAGTCTTTGACTGGTTTATGACATCTTGCAAGTGGAGAGAAGGAGAATAGAATTTCGGGTCTTTCTTTCTGATTTTGTTTTTCTATATTGCTTGCGTGTTTTTGCTTTTCTACTCACCCAATGTTTGAGATGAATGAATTCTTGGATCACCGCTCAAATTAATGAAAACTACTGCTTTAGGTGAAATTTTCTTGCTGGCAAACGTTTTTTTTTTGGGCTTGTCTGTGTTATACCATGAAATGAGATTTCAATGTTGAGATGAGAATTCAACGTGTGACTCTTGGCTGGCTGCTAACTTGTATTTAAAAAAAAAAAAAAAAACTGCTGACTTGTGCCAGGTTTGAGACTCTGTTTTTCGGTTGGATTGTATGCCTGTTGGACCTTTTAATCCGTTTCTAAACACCTTGCTGATAAATAAAGGAATGAGCATTCATACCAAATCGGAATTTTGTGAAATAAATTATTTGATGTTGAATCTTAGTTCTCATCTCTACCTTCTCAAGGTTTTAAGAGAACAGTTTGCTTAGAATTTTTCTTAGGTGTTTGTTGAAATAAAAACGCGAGATGCATGGAAATCTTGAGGACAACTAAAAAGAACCAAAATAGTTCTATCAGAGAGTTGTTTTCCTCTTCCAAGTTCCAATAAATCAGCCGAGATTGATGTTACATAGAACATGAATGTTAGTTTTGCCATAGTGCACAACTCCCTTAAATACAAGGATGAAAAGGGGAAAAGGAATGATTTGAAAGAATTATTTTCAATTTGGTTTCAGCTTTTATTGCAAATTTTGGTATAGCTACTTTATATCTCACTCGTTTTGTTCTTGCCATTTTCCTTCCAGTTAACTTTGTGGCATGTAACTAACTTCTCCACATTTGTACCTGTGTACAGCAGATGCTAAACCCAACGGGATTGAACCAGAAGGAAATAAAATAAAGGCATTCCAGGAACAGGAAAGGCAACAAGTGCATGAACTTTTAGATCAATATCTTCTCACTCTTACCCTGGAAGGGGTAATATACTTCATTAGTGATACTTTCATTTTGACCAACAAATTAGAGGCTATTCCAGTACCGATTATGTGGTTTAGTTGTAATAACTACATGGTCTATTATTAAGCCAATTAGTTGTGATTTTTTCAAAGCATTAACTCAGCATTCAAGCTCAAATGTTCAATCTTGAAATTGCCCATTCTATTTATCAACGCATCATTGTAGATTCTTGTTTACACTTTAACATATATCTCTAGGTAGAGGCCAATAAAATGTTGATTGAAATGGATAGTATTGAGAAAGGAATTGAACATGCCATTGCTCAGCACAATATCAGATGGCTTGTCATGGGAGCTGCAGGAGAAGGATATCAGTCAGGGTACAGTTGTGAATACCTTTTCTTTTAGCTTTATTTATTTTAATGTTCTCATATTTTATAACAATACTTTGTGATGTGTAGGAATATTTTGGACTGATAGAAATTAGAGAGAGATAGGGGGAAAGATGAGAGAAGAACAGGAAGGTAGGTAGAAGCAGAGAGGAATGAGAGAGATTAAGGAGAAGGGATTGAGAGAATTTGAGGAACGTAAGGAATACTTTTGACTGATCACTAAGATAAAGATTACAACTCAAAAGACATTCCTTCCCAATGGCTATATTCTAACTAACCAACTATTTAAATGAAACACACGTAAGTGATAAAACTATAACTATAACTAACATGTCATAATTATAAATCTATGACAACACCCCATCAAAAAGATCCTTGTCCTCAAGGATCAGTGATTACAAATTGGGGAAATTTTTGCTGGAATTGATGCAAAACCATCCAAGGTGCTTCTTCATCTGGCAATTGCTTCCACTTGATCAAAATTTCAGTAACAATCCTCCTTCTTTTTTGACCAATTCTCTTCTATAAAATACATTCAGGCTTTAAAGCTGGTGGTATTTCTGGCCAATCAAGGGGAGGATGCCTTTACTTCACTTAGGGTCAGGACATAGCTTAATAGAGACATATAAAAGGTTGGATGTATTCTAGATTCAGGTGGCAATTCTAATTTGTAAGCCACTGCACCAACTCTGTCAATAACCTTGTAGGGACCAAAATATCGAGGAGCCAATTTTTGAATGCTTCTAGAGGCTGCAGAAATTTGCCTATATGGTTGTAGCTTGAGAAAAACCCACTGACCAATAGCAAACTCACGATCTGTTCTATGTGAATCAGCATTCTGTTTCGTCAAATTGGCTGCCCAATGAAGGTGATGCTTTAAAACATCCATTACAGCTTCTCTTGCTGAAAAAGACCAGTCTAAAACATCCAAAGCAAAACTATGAGGCAAATAAGGATAGTGAATAGGAGCTTTTTGACATACAAAAGTTCATGTGGTGTTGCTTTAGTAGCTGTATGAAATGTGGTGTTGTACCACCATTCAGCTTGGGAAATCCACTTTCTCCAATCCTTTGGTTGTTCCCAACACATGCATCTCAACTAAGTCTCCAAACATTTGTTTAAATCTTTTGATTGCCCATCTGTTTGCAGGTAATAGGCTGTAGAAAGTTGTTTGACCCCTAAAATCTGCAAATATTCTTTCCAAAAAGTACTCACAAAAATTGGGTCACGATCACTAATTATTTCAGCAGAAGCACCATGAAGTTTGTAAATATGATCCATAAAAAGCTGTGCTAAAGAAGCAGCATAATAAGGGTGATTAAGAGGTATAAAATGGGCATACTTACTCATTCTATCAATTAACACCCAAATTGTATCCTTACCATGAGATTTAGGGAGTCCTTCAATAAAATCTATAGTAATACCTTTCCAAACTTGACTTGGAATTGGAAGAGGTTACAACAGCCTAGGAGGAGCAATAGCCTCATATACTTACAATGAGCACATGTATCACATTGTTTGATAAAATCCATCACATCATTAATCAGTTTTTTCCACCAAAATAATGCCTTAATTTTGTGGTAAATGGCCTGAATTCCAGAATACCCTCCTTGAGGATTAGAGTGCAACCATTCTAAAATTTGCTGTCTCAAAATAGGATCATTTTCGATCACCAACTTTCCCTTCCTTCTCAACAATTCTCCATCCCAAGAAAAATGCCCCCAAATACCACTATTTTCTTGAGTTTTCTTATGAATTTTTGTAACCACAGCATCACTTCCCCAATTTCCCTTGATTTTGTCCAGTCATTCAGGAGGAGAAGTGTCTAAAACCATTTGCAGCATCATCTGTTGTTTGGGTATTCTAGAAAGAGCATCAACTATTGAATTATTATTCCCCTTCTTATATTGTATCTCATAATCAAACCCAGCTAATTTTGCAGCCCAAAACATCTAAAATGAAGTCTTTAACTTCTGTCCGAGCAAATATTTCAGGCTTAGTTGGTCATACCTGATTATAAATCGCTTCCTTTCAAGATATTGATGCCAATGAAGGACAGCTAACACCACAGCCATTAATTCTTTTTCATATATAGAAAGTTGCTGGTGTCTTTCAGCTAAACCTTTGCTAAAGTATGCAATTGGCTGCCCTTGCTGCATTAGAATAGCCCCCATGCCAAAACTACATGCATCTGCCTCGACAACAAATTCTTTAGTGAAATGAGGAAGAGAAAGGATAGGTGCTGATGTTAATACCTTCTTAAGATTGTTAAATGCTTCAAAAGCCAAATCTGACCATTTGAACCCATCCTTCTTAAGAAGACGAGTTAGTGGCTTTGCTAGAGCTTTATAGCCCTAGATAAACCTTCTATAGTATCTTGCCAATCCTAAAAATGCCCTGAGTTGCTTCATAGTCTTAGGTTTAGGCCATTCAGCAACTGCTAGAATTTTCTTCAGATCTGTCTTAACTGTTCCATTCCCAATTATATGACCCAAATACTCCACTTCAGTTGCTGCAAAAGAACACTTGCTCATCTTAACGTAATACCGATGCTTACTCAAAATGGAAAAGACTTCCTTGAGATGCTGCACATGGTCATCCAAATTAGCACTATAAATCTATATATCATCAACAAATACTAGCACAAACCTTCTCAAATAAGGGCGAAATATGCTATTCATGGCCCCTTGAAATGTAGCCAAGGCATTAGTTAAGCCAAATGACATAATCAGCCACTCATAGTGCCCACTACATGTTTTAAAAGCAGTTTTTATGACATCTTGAGGCAGCATCCTAATTTGGTGATAACTAGCTGTGGTTAGACTGAATACTTATTAATTGTATATATTATTATGAGTATATTTCGGGTAGATATCAGGGAGATAATTTAGTATTTATGTAGGAGATATTGTGCGATACCTAGATCTGATTCTAGCTCCATGATTCTCGGAGAGATAGTCGCACACTCACTTGTATATATCTGTATATTCGCTTTCGGTTCAGTGAAGCAGTTTTACACAGTAAATTGCTACATGGTATCAGAGCTGTCACCTGTGACTTTAGACGCAGAACAGCTCGACTCTGAAAGCATTGAGAACAAGTTGAACCTAACTTACACTCCATCAATGTCGAAGAGTGATGGGTCCTCAAAAAATGATCCGAGCAAGCCAGGCGGTGGTCTCTTTGGGTTGACTATCAACCACGAAGGATCAACGATGCATATCGTCACTGTCAAACTCAACGGAGCAAACTACCGCATGTGGGCTCAAGCTATGAAGCTAGCGATTGGAGGCAAGGGAAATATAGGCTTTATCGATGGCTGATCTAAAGTCCTTGATGAATTCGAGACGCAAGAAGCTCTGCGATGGCACACAGACAATGCATTGGTATCGTCGTGGCTTATAAACGCGATGATACCAGAAATTCAGCAAAGTTTCATGTTTCTTTCTTCTGCTCATGAAATCTGGAAGGCCACACGAGATTCATACTCTGATGGAAAAGACTTAGTGAGACTGTACGAGCTTAAAACAAAGACTTGGACACTCCAACAAGGAGATTGTGAGGTCACTGCGTTCTAGTTGGAACTAAACTCTGTGGCAAGAGCTGGATTTGATGACAGAGGTAGAATGGTCAAGTAGCACTGATGCTACTTGCTATAGAGAGCAAATTAAGAATGAACGTGTATTTCAATTCCTTGTTGGTTTCAACCAATCGTTGGATGACGTAAGGGGACGAATTCTGGGTCGTACACCACTCCCATCAACAAGGGAAGTATTTTTTGAGGTTCGCTGTGAGGCAACTAAACGTGAGGTAATGCTCTCTGGAACTTTCCCTACTCCATCCACTCTTTTAGAGTCTGCCACACTTGTAAGCCAGAGTGGTAATACAACCCAAAGGAATCTGAAAGGGAAGGGCACGTGTGACCATTGCAAAAAGGTGGGTCATACTCGTGAGACTTGTTGGGACATCCATGGCAAACCAGCTGATTGGAAGCCACAGAAAGCAAAGGCTAAGGGGTACCAAACCTCTAATGACCCACCACCAAACAAATCAGATCCAATACCTCAAATGCCTCAAGTTGATAAGGAGCAACTAGGTAAGTTACTTGAGATGCTCAATATGCTTCAGAAGAATGATCAAGCCCAGAAATCAAATCATACTGCTTCTGTAGCCCGTAAAGGTAATAGTGCATTACTCACTACTACTAGCAACTTCAAGTGGATTGTGGATACTGGGGCAACAGATTATATGACCTTCGACTCCACGGTGTTTCACGCATATGTCCCTAGTGCTGGGAATGAGACAATTAGTATAGCTAATGGGTCTTTCGCAGCAATAGCAGGAACTGGGAGTGTAATTATTCTGATGTTATGAAATTAGAACATGTGTTACATGTGCCTTATCTAGCCTGCAATTTATTATCCATTAGTAAGCTAACGAAACAAGCAAGTTGTTGGGCTCATTTTTGCTGCACTCATGGTATTTTTGAGGACTTCTTATCGGGGAAGATGATTGGGAGTGCTAAGGAGCATAATGGCCTCTATTACCTCGACGAGTCAACCGTGAGTAACCTATGGTCTTGAATTCAGTGCAATATTGCATCTACATCTGAGGAAAAAGACTTTAAAGATCTTTTGTTATGGCATAGGAGAATGGGTCATCCAAATTTCCAATACTTATGTCGCTTATTTCTTGAATTTCAATCAAATAAAATTCCTTTTTTCCATTGTACTGATTGTGAATTGGCCAAGCATCAAAGATCTAGTTTCAAACCTGTGGAATATAAGTTGACCCATTCTTTTTCAATTATTCATAGTGATTTATGGGGTCTTACTCATATTCCTAATCGCTCTAACACAATGGTTTATCACCTTTATTGATGATCATACTAGAATGTGCTGGGTCTATCTGTTACGTGACAAGTCCTATGTCCCATTCGTGTTTTCTGAATTTTACACAATGATCAAAAATCAATTTGATACTACCAT